AACTGAGCGCGGATCCGGAGCGTCCCGGGCGCTTCCGGCTGGAGCTGCTAGGCACGGGGCCCGGAGCGGTGAGTGGGGACGGCAGGGGCGCGCTGCCAGGCGGCCTGGTCGAACCGCGGAGGCCGAGGCCAGGCCCCTCCGCTTGCCCGCTGAGTGCCCTATAGCGGTTAACTTTCCTCTCTTCCGTTTCCTTGTCTGTCGAACGGGGATAATATTGGTATATACCTTTATAGGATTACTCACGGTTTCATAAGATGATGAGTCAAGAGCTTAGATCAACGCGAGTGGCCTGTGAACGTTGCTTCATATGCCTTTGACCATGCAGTACGTGTTGGCGGGAGGCACTGAGCCTTGACTCTTCCCCTCCTCAGGTCAGTTTGGAGTGGCCCTTGGAGTCGGTCTCTTACACCGTTCGAGGTCCCAGCCAGCATGAGCTGCAGCCTCCTCCAGGAGGGCCCGGAACCCTCAGCCTGCACTTCCCCAACCCTCAGGAAGCTCAGCGGTGGGCAGCTCTGGTCCAAGGTGCCACCGTGGAGGGACAAAATGGTCAGTGCCCTGGAACAAATTTGGTTGGTCAGAGACTGTACGGGAGGGAGTAGGAGTAGCCCCGCCCCGACAGGCCCTGGTGGAGGAAGTAGTGGGGAAATCTGGGCTCACCATACCCACTGCTGGGGTTCTGGGAAGACTCCTAGGAGAGAGAATGGAGAAAAGGAACAGAGACCAAGAGCTAGAGCCTGGAGCAGGCAAGTGTGCAGGGGCAGAGCAAGCAGGTGGGGCCTCAGGACCTGGTGGGAAGACAGACTATATCAAGAGCAACCGGAGGGTACTCAGTGTGAAAGTGACAGGCTCAGATTTGAGCTACTTAAGATTGGTTGAGACCTATATTCATATGGGGAGGACTGAAGAGAAGAAGGACGTTTGCAGAGTTGCTTAGGAGATGGAATTGCTGAATTTGGTGGCCGTTTAAATGTAAGTGTTAGTGGCTGAGACAAGGATGGGAGACCAAATACCATTGGCATCTCAGATTAAATGCCAGTTTGGGAGGGCATGGAGGTGGCCCAGTACTTACATATCTGAGGGAGCGGGAGTAGATGGGTCTAAGCCGAAGCTGGCGCTCTGGCAAGGTAAAGACTGTGGGTAGGAAAGGTCAACCCAGGTCATTCAGAGAAAAGCAAGAAAAGGGTCTGGCAGGCAGACAGTGCACCAGGGATTTTTTTGTGCCAGAGGAGGTGCCAGAGGGAGAGGAAGAAACCCCAGACAACACAGCATGTGCAGGAGAAAGGCTTTTTCCATTCATTTGTTTACTCACTCACCAAGTGCAAACTCGGTACTGCTCTGGACTTAGCACTGCTTTAGGCCTTGAAGAGTTCACACGAGTGAAATTTCACATCTCTGCCCTTGTGGAGTTTGCATTTCTAGAGGCAAGGGAGACATATAAAATAAATAAATAAAATTCTCAGATGCTGGAAGGGAGGAGTTTGCAATCAAAAATGGGTGGCCGCGAAGGCCTTCTTAACATGACACTTGAGATTCGAAGGTCGACATGTGAGCCATGAGGCCAGAGAGCAGTGGGTACAGCAGGCCTGAGGCAAGGGTGTGCAGTGGCCCTGTGCTGGGTGCAGGGAGCCCTGCCCATCTCAGCGGGTAGCTCAGATTACTGAGGGCCTGAGGTGCATCGGCTCCAGGGGGGCTGGGCCACAAGTGGGAGGGAAGAGGAGGAGACAAGTGCGCCCAGCCCAGGGCCTGAGAGGCTGTTAGGAATGGGAGCAGTCTGAGGGCTTCTGGGCTGAGGGTAGAGCTGGGAAAGGGATGGAGGTCCGTGAGGGCACCAAGGAGAAGCCATACTGAATGCAGGGCTACTGGTGAGCAGGAAGAGGCAGGCTGCTTTGGTTCTGTTGTGAGGCCAAGGGAGCCCAAGAGATGTGGCCTTGCCTCTGTGGAGGAGGGGCTCAGGTGGGTCCAGGACTGCAGAGCCCGGGTGCAGCTGCAGCTCTGAGAGGAGTCGGTAGGGACCTGAGGGGCTTGCAAGGGCCAAAGCTCAGGGGAAGGCCTGGCTTGAAGTGTGTCCAAGGCAGGGCCCCAGCATGGGCTGTGAAGATGGAGGAGACAAAGACCCTGGAAGCTGAGGTGTGAGGGCAGAGGCCTGAGTGCTCGGCTGGGGGACTGGGTCTTGGGAGACCACCGGCCCACCCCACATCTTTCCTCCTAGGCAGTGATAGCCTGCCTCCAGCCCTGGGCCCCGAAATGTGCCCTGCTTCCCCACCCAGCCTTCCTGAAGCCCCTGCAACCAAGGTCCCCCAGCCCAAGGTGGATGTTCCCTGGAGCCCGGGAGACTTGATGGAGAAAGGTAAAGGCAGATGGCCGGAGGAGTTTGGGGGTAGCAGCTGTGCTCGGTTGTGATGGTTCTCTCCCTGCAGAAGAGCTGGCAGGGCGCCTGGCCCGGGCCATCGGGAGTGGGGATGAGAAGCAGGCAGCCCAAGCAGCAGCCACCCTGGCTCGGCATCATGTGTCCCTCAGTATCAAGCTCCAGGAGGCCTGCTTCCCTCCTGGCCCCATCAGGTGAGACCTGGGACTTCTTCCTCACCCCGCCCTCCCAACCCTCCCAGGTCCCCCACCATTCCCCGACCTACATTCTGGCCCAGGCTACAGGTCACAGTTGAAGACGCTGCATCCTCTGCCCACATGTCGCTGCAGGTCCACCCCCACTGCACCATCGCGGCCCTCCAGGAGCAGGTGAGCCCCAGGTCTGGGGAGCCCTGCTGCGGGTGGGAACCCTGGCTGATACTGCCTAGTACTGACGTTCTGGCCCTAGGTGTTCTCAGAGTTCGGCTTCCCACCAGCGGTGCAGCGCTGGATCATTGGGCGGTGCCTGTGTGTGCCCGAGTGCAGCCTTGCTTCTTA